CATAGTTTGAAGCCAACGTGCAGCGCAACCACAGACATGCATGGATCGGAAATATCGGCAGGTTGGATTGGAAAATCCGATACGTAAATTATGCTGGTATCGGAGCCCGATACCAATACTGGATCGGATCGGATCGGCCCCATCCCTATTGATAACACTGTTCTCTCCCATTAACAAGTAATGCTGTATGGAAATGGAAAAAGTGACGTTGAGCCTGTGAATCTTGAAAAGGTGCGAAGGAAATATGGTAGCAGCAGAAGGGTAAGAGGCGGAGTGTGTTTGTATTTTTTGCAAATAAAAGATAAATGGTACTTGCAGAGAAAATTTAAAAAATAATTAAGTTGAATTTTAAGAGAAGGAATTAAAAAAATTGTTTTTCACAATTTGGAGGTGCTATGAGTAAACAGGGCAAAAAGGGTTTGAATGATATCAACAAAATTATTGTAATTGTGGGATGTGAACTGAAATGAATGGATGGAGCTGAACTCAGCAGAATAAACCAGGCTGAGAAAAGCAACCTTAACTCTCACAGCCACTTGTAAGAGTGCCACTGCCTTCAGCTCCTCGTCCAAGATGGCCGTTGATTGTCTACAGTTGACGGCCATCAACTTGATGAGGATCATCCACTACTTATGGGTGCAGTCCGGTGTTACTCTTCGCTGGAGCATTGACCATCAATGGTATTTATGCCTCCGGCCTGTATGTTTACATTTAGTAAATCTACTTACCAGCTTTTCTTGTCCTCAGCAATCTTGACTCCTTGGTCCTGGTTCATTTGGTCCTGTCCTGGTTCTCCTCATGTCTAGTCCAGGTTCTCCTTGTGCCTCGCCTTGGTTCTCCTCGTGCCATGCCTGCCACCAGTTGCCTGCCTCCCCTGTCCTGTCGGACCGTCGGTCTTCTCTCCCTCTGGAGCTCATCCATGGATTTGGAGTTGGACGCAAAGACATCTTCAAACTTGTAAGAGGGAAAACATCATCATATTAATATTGCATGTTCATCCTGACGGCCTCCTCTGACCATCTCTTTCCTCTTCAAGGAGCACCAGAGAAGCAACTGTCTATTACCACTGTAAATAATAAACACTGTTACTTTTGTACCCACCTGTGTCTGCCTCGTTCCGGGTCTCATACAACTCTGGGTTCCCTGAGTCATAACAGAAATCCTCCAGCCAACTAAGACCCAGAATGAGACCAGGAGCGAGCAGGCCCTCGCTACCTCTCAGGTGGAGCGAATCAACAAATTGGAAGAAATGCTGCAGCAGGTTCTGACCCAACAACGCTCTGCTTAGTCCAACCTGCAGGAACTTGGAGGTATGGTCATTTCTATTAAACAACAACTCCTATCTCCCTCTCCTCCAGCATCTACCTTCCAGTCGACCCCCAGTTCCACTTGTGAATCTCCTAGACTGACTTCCTCTGCTAAACAGTTAATCGTTAAGCCTTCTGAGCTCTTCGCAGGAGACCCTGACCAATGTGGAGGTTTCCTACTCCAATGCAGACTTGCCTTTGAAGGGGTTCCATCTCTTTATGCTACTGACACAGCTAAAATCACCTATTTCATCAGTCAGCTCAAAGGTAATGCCCTCTGATGGGCGTACTCATTTCTACAGTTCCATGATAATTCCTCTGTCCCCTACAAACGACTTTGAAAGGAGTTTTGCAGGATTTTTGATCGCCCTTTGCAGGCGCTGAATGCCGTAAAGCGTCTGCTAAGTCTACGTCAGGGCCGACGTGCAGTCTCCGAGTACACTTTGGAGTTCTGGATCCTTGCCACTCAGACCGGCTGGAACGAACTAGCCCTACAAAGTACTTTCCTAAACTCTTTGTCTGATCACCTCAAAGACCAAATTACTGCTCGAGACGAACCTGAGGGGTTTGACCAACTAACTGACCTGGCTATCGCCATCGACAAACGCTTCCGGGACAGACAAAGGGAATGGGACTACAACTCCCAAAGGCTTTCCACTTCCGGGTTCGCGACCTCACCAGGTTAGCCACACTTCTACAAATAGATCAAAGAGAACTACAAGTCCCAATCTTCCC